GTAACACAGCACTGTTAACTACAGTCATCATTTGCATATCACATCCCTAGGATTTACTTATTTTATAACTGGAAGTTTATTCTTTTTGAGCATTTTCACTTGATTTCCCTACTCCCCACTCCCTGCCTCTGGCAACCACAAATCTGTTGTTTCTATGAGCTTGGTGTTTTTGGATTCCATACATAAGTGAGAGCATATGGTAGTTTTCTCTCTCTTTCTGACTTATGTCACTTAACACAATGCTCTCCAAGTCCATCCTAGGGGTTGCAAATGGCAGAATTTTCTTCTTTTTGCTATGGCTGATAGCAGTGCTTCTTAAATGAATTGTTCTTATTTGTGCTACTTTAAGTAAAATACTAGAGTAACACCAGTATGCAGAGATGTTATAACAATTCAAAAATGAGGAAAGAAGGGTTAGTCTTGCCTCCTCCTTGTGCAGATTTGCAGTAGGTTCCGGAGAGGTGTCCGTTCACACACGCTCCATAGTCGCCTTTAAAGTATCGATTCAGGAGTATCTTTCTTAATGTGTTACCCTAATAAAAAGGATAAGAAAATTGTTAGTTATTGCTTCTTTTTCTAGTATGAGGAAAAAAAATCTATACATTTAAGTGTCACTTAAAATGCATTTCATCAATGATGTTGAGACAAGGAAAATCAATTTTACACCGCACAATATTTTCTGAGGCAAAAATTTGCCAATATTTCCCCCCAAATTACAATAATTTCGCTTCTCCCAGAAATAAAGAATAAAATATAGTATTTTCAATAGAACCTACTCGGAGAATCACAAGCACTATAAATTTAAAATTGCTTCAAAAGCTGAGGGCCCAGTGTTGGTAAGAATACTCATGGCGCCTAAAGAAAACAGAGATAAATAAACACCCTAAGAACTGGAAAGTAAAAACCTTAGATGAGATCAATAAAAAGAACTAGACAAGTGCAAGATATACAGCAGGTGCTCAAAAAATTAAGCTTGATCAGACAGAGAGAATTATATTTAAACCCCAAGAGCTTTATTCAGAAGACAGTGGGCAAAAGATAGAGTATAGAACTGTAATTCAAAAATCCCTCAGTCTTCAATTTTGTTTTGATTCAAAGACATTTTTTAAACAATATACTTTGCAATATAGTCACTTGCATGTACATAAGAAATACAGACAATTCCAAATCTTCCATTTTATTGATTATACTTTAATAGACAAGAGTCATTTTTAAAGTATTATTTAAAGACCATTTGTTTAAAGCATTTAAATTAACACCACAACTACCAAGGTAAGGAAACCATGGCCCAAGAATTTATGTCATTGGCTGCAGATCACGCGGCTAAGAGGTGGCAGAGTAAGACCTGAGCTCAACTCTTGATGGCAGAATCCAGCCATTCCCGTGCGCCATGTGCACACCCCCTTCCCAGCATGCTCCCTTGTAAGCTGTGACAGGTGGCTCTAGTCACTCCTCCTCTCTCTCATGCCTTGGTTGTCTTTGTTTCTCAAGCCCGTTAGGTTTTTGTCCTCAGTTCTCCTCTCCTCAGCTTCCCTCTCCCCGTCAGCAGTTCCCACTGACCCTCGCTTGCACAACCACCTCTGCAGGTCTGACGGCCAGATGTGTTTCCTGCGGCCTCGGCCTCAGCCTCCTAAGCCTCTCATCCTGTTTCCTCTTACATTTCCTTATCTGCATCCGGAGATTCTACTGGCATCTCAAACCCAATTTTTCACAACGGGATATTCCTTCTCTCTTAAACCTGTTTTCCCCTCAAATGGAAGAAATTCAGTTTATTTCAAGGAATCACATCATTCTGGTCTTTTAGGCTCCAAACTTCAGGGGTCATCTATTACCACCCTCCAACTTGACAAGGACTGTAAAATCCCACCTACTCTACTTTTTCAGCTGTAGCTTCCAACAGTGTCCTTACACATTATATTTCATCTAAACTGAATGATGTGATGATTCCCAACCACAGTTTTCTACATCTTTCTCTTTGCTTACATCATATTCTCTGCCTGAAAAGCTCTCCTTCCATCTCATTTATGGACACGTCCTATCTTCCTTCTTCATTCTGCAAATATTCATTAGGTATCAACTCTGTTTTGGGCACGATCCTAAGAGAATAAGATACAATCTTCTCCTCAAAGAATTTATAATAAAGTCATTTCCACAATAGAGACATACACTAGACCCATGGAAGCACAAAACAGGAAACAGCCAATTTAGAAGGGGTTTTACATGGCAAACCTCTCCTACCAACCCATGCGACCATCACAGCAAAGCTGTCTCATGCACAAACAATGTAAAAACACAGAGACTGGCTGAATGGTTACAAAAATAAGACCCATATGTACACTGTCTACAAGAGACCCACTTCAGAGCCAGAGACACATGCAGGCTGAAAGTAAGGGGATGGAAAAAGATATTCCATGCAAACAGAAACCAAAAGAAAGCTGGAGTAGCAATACGTATATCAGACAATAGATTTTAAAATAAAGACTGTTACAAGAGACAAAGAAGGACACTACACAGTGCTCAAGGGATCAATCCAAGAAGAGGATACAGCAATTGTAAATATATATGCACCCAACATAGGACCACCTCAATATATAAGGCAATCAATAACAGACATAAAAGGAAAAATCGACAATAACACAATAATAGTGGGGGACCTTAACACCCCACTTACATCAATGGACAGATCATCCAGACAGAAAATCAATAAGGAAATACAGTATAAAAACGAATATGTCTGAAGTGTCACAGTGCCCAGAATTTAGACACTCACAGCCTTACAGAGATTTTTATTTATTGACTCCTAAATGTTTTAGAACACGGACATTTATTATTGCTTCCTATTCCATATTTTCTTCCTCTAAGGCTTTTTCATAGAGGGGCATTGTGGGTAAAGGTGATGACTCGTCTTGGAAGAAACAGTGAAGTGTGAGAGCTTATTTTCCCAATGAAAAGAACTCTACTCCGCCTATAACCAAAGTGGGGCACTTAGAGAAGACGTAAGAATTGACAAGTCCTGTTGACTTGAATACATTTCATCTGGCCAAAGAACGATCCTTCCAAAAGGGGAGGGACAACAAAACAAGACACATCTTTGGAGTCAAATGAGGTTTAACCGTGTATCTCATGACAGCAGAAGGAGAAGCTATAAGAGACCTTTTTAGACCCATAAATTACGAGGTTGAAGCTGTAAGATGGGGAGAAAGAGGCAAGGACACATTAACTGAAGTACTAAATTTCTTTAGACGGTATCTCAGTTTGTTGTATTAAGCATGGTTCTCTCTTCTACAGATCAATGTATCGCTTCCCACTCTAACCCTGGAAGATACAGTTGGCCCAGCTGTAATGAGTAAAACTGACAAATATGAAAACACAGGACTATGTTTCTCAAAATTGCACAAATCAGTGTCATTGTCCAGAAGAGAACCTGTTCTGAGGAGAGCCCAGTTCCATGTGAACAAGTTCCCTTTTTATTTAAGAGCCTTCTGATCGCACTACTCCAGGAACTCAACCAAGAGACAAAAACCAAAAAATTTTTAAAAACAATAGTTTAAAGGAGAACTTGAAAGCTACCTTCTACCCTTTGTTTTAAAAACGCCCTTTATATTGCTAGAAAAATAAAGCTGCTCAAAACCAGTCACAGAGTAGAAGTGTTCCACATCAAATTAAAATAAGCATCTGATATATCATCATTTCTAAAGTCTCTTCAGGCAGATAAAATAAAGCCACAGGTGCTGATCAGATTCATGAACATCAAAATCCAATGAGCAACAGTCTTCTTATTCAAGCCCAGCCTAGTGAGTTACAAGCATGTATTTTCTAACCATGTGATATTCCCAGATGCCACAGAAAGGGGGCAGGGGCTCCCTGTACCTCTGTTCTTAACCCTGGAGCCACACCGCCTGCATTCCAACTCCCTCTATGCCACATACTAACTATGAGATCTTAAGCAAGTGACTTCACTACTTTGTGTCTCAGTCCCACAGTTGTCAAGTGGAAGAGTGGTAACACTTACCTTCATGGGGTTTCAAGGAAGATTAAATGGGTAAAAACATGTAAAGTATTTAGAGCAGTCCCTGGCACATAGTAAGTGCTAAACACGTTGTGTGCAGCTGATGCTGTTTGTGCCAGTGTTAATATTATTCCCATTCACAGAACAGTTCACAATTCACAAGGTGATTCTGTACATACTTTCTCACTGTATACCAAACCATCCCACGTACAAAGAAAATGGTAAAAAATAATCAATGATAAACTGCCTGAAAATCCTCATTTGTCCACTATCCATCAGTCCTTGGAATTATATACTGGTGAGCTAATCTGCACATACTTAATTATATAAAATGGACCTCCCATCTTCAACTAAAGTGGAAAAAATTCTACTTTGTCTCAAACTCCATAGTTTTCAAAAAAGGCTAGCTTTGGTGCTAACCAAGAATGAAGAGTAGGTACAGATGGAACAGGATTCTTTCTGTTTGTCTTAATCATCCTCATCTAAGACTGGAAAACTTCAGATATTGCTACATCGCAAGTTCAGAAGAACTGATTTATGTCCTTGTCATACATGATTTGTGTATCCATGGTGTCAAATGCTGAGTTTTGACTTGAGGGATAGGAGGTCAGTACTGTGTCCCAGTCTGTCTTGGAGCATTCTTGGTGGCCTGCACTATCTGTGATGGGTTACACTGGTGATAGCTCAGATGCAAGTCATTTCCGCAAATTCCTTCGGCTCAAATAAAGTAATTGTAGAGCCACTGTCAGAAAGTCTGGTGCCAAGGTTATAAATAATGGCCTCAGAGTTCTAATTGCCGTGGCAGAAATTTGGGAAAGGACTAAAAACACATTTTGAAAAGAATTCTACAACAATTGAGAAGTTCAACTTCTGTGCTCGCTCTTCAATTCCAAAACGCATTCCTGACTGGGCTTCCCATGGAAGGTGTCTTTGTCGAATAAGGCCAAGTAGCAAGCAATGTCCTTTCCAGTCTTCCAATATCAGAGTCAATTCCAGGCCACAAGACACAGCTTTTAGCCAATGTCTTCATGTGAACACATCCCAGATGTGCTAAATGTAACGCAGCCAACATAACTAGCAACCACCTTCTGAAATTACAACAAAACATCTCCATAAAAAGACATCTTTTGTGGCCAGGGAAGTCACGCTGACAGTTTGTGAAAATCTGAGAGGACTGGTTTTTCCTGGCCACTTCCTGTTGCATCAATGCCAAAGTATCAAAAATTAGGAGGCTCAGAAATGATTGCCTTTCACGGATAGAAAGGATGACAAAAAAATGTGTTCGTCTTAGAAAGGACTAAAGATTTTCTGATTTTCGAGAAAGTACAACACACTGTTTGCCTTAATAGGACTTAACAGCAGTAGGAGTGAAGAGTTCAAGGATGTGCTGTTTGAGGTACTGATCCCACAGTTGTTGCTTTTCCCTTGGAAAAACTGTAAACTAAAGTAATATTTTTCCACTGTGGGCAATATCATCAAAACATCATCAAAATATGTCACCACAACCAGAAACCTAGAAAACGA